TTGGGATCTGACAGCAGTGACACAATTCACATTCCTGGGATTCAAGATCACTGCAGACAGTGACTGCAGCCATGAAATTAAGAGACGCCTGCTCCTTGGGAGGAAAGTGATGGCAAACCTAGACAGCATAATAAACATCACCCTGCCAACCAAAGTCCGTATGGTCCAAGCAATGGTATTCCCAGTAGTAATGTATGGCTGCGACTATAAGGAAGGTCGAGCGCCGAAGAATAGATTCTTTTGAACTATGGTGCTGGAGAAGAATCTTGAGAGTCCCTTGGACTGCAAGAAGATCAAATTAGTCAGTCCTAAAAAAAATCAACCCTGACTGTTCCCTGGAAGGCCAGATAATGAAGCTGAGCCACACGTGGTTCCCGAGCCACAGTTTTGCCACCCCAGTGAGAAGGGAGCATTCACTGGAGAAGACCCTGATGCTGGGAAAGACTGAAGGTAAAAGAAGAAGGGGACAGCAAAGAATGAGATGGTTAGACTGTGTTATAAATGCAACGAACATGAAATTAAGCAAACTCTGGAGGATGGCGGAAGACAGGAGGGTCTGGTGTGATGTGGACCATGGAGTCACAACGAGTCGGACTCGACTGTGCGACTGAACAACAACAACATGATGTACATTACATTTTCTTCAAGTGTTGTATGTGTTTATATATTCAGTATATTTAATATATTTCTGTGAGCATTATTACATGTCTTTGAAAAAAAAAATTGGGAAGAGGTTTTAACAACTCTCATTCCAGCATGCCATATCACCTTACCAGACATTCTTGGCTTTCCCACTCTTCTGCCAGTTTCCAGACCACAAGATTGTTTCTTTCTTTCTCCAGAGACCCCTGCTGAGCCTTGATTCTTTCCTGCACAAAGAGAAAAGGCTTTGCTGATGTGTTGGGAATGCACAGAAACAGGCGATAAACCTGGGTATCCTGCAAGTTCACGGCCCATAAGAATCATACCTTTTTCAAAGTGTTATGCATTTATTTATTTACTTTGTGGCTGACATCCACCTCCTCTCCTCTATGTTGACCACAGTAAGGTTAGGATTACAGTGGATGAGCAGCCCAAGGTCACCAAGAGAGCTTCCATGGCAGAGCAAAATCAAACCTGGGCCTCCCAGAATCCAGTCTGACACTCTACCACTACACCACACTGCCTTTCTTTCATACTAGCCTTGGAGGGGTGTGTGTGTGTGACTGACCTCACTTTCAGTCACTTATCACAGAGAATCCTGATGGCTTCACCACTAAAGCAATGAATTCCAGTGTTCCCCTGTAGTGCTCCCATGTTTAAAACGACCTTTGACAATCATTTGTACAGAATCATTCTTTGGACTCAAGTTTGCTTCATCTGCAGTAAACAACACTTTCTGGTTTACTGAGACTTTGGGGGGGGGGGGGGGGGGGGGGGTGATTCCAAAATGGAAAGTTTTCTGCTGCTTCCCCCACCCACCCCCCAGGCAGAAAATCTTCTATTTCTCAGTTCCATCTTTTCACAAAAGTAATAGCAGTGAATGGATGCCGTTGTTAATACAGTCTCAAGCTGTCATTAATGTTTTTCATGTGATTATCTCTAGGAACTGTGGGACCTGAGAGAGAACATGTTTTATTGATCTGTAAACTATGAGTGGAGAGATGAAAACACAAATACCTATAAATATAATTGTAAAAAAAATCAAACTATGAATTTGCCTGACCTAGCTGTGCAGGTCAAACCAAAAAGAGATCTCATGATCACCAATGTGATGTGAAGTTTTCAGCTAAACATGAGGAAGAACTTCCTGACAGTTAGAGGGGATCCTCAGTGGAACAGGCTTCCTCGGGAGGTGGTGGGCTTTGGAGCTCTTTGGAGGTTTTCAAACAAAGGCTAGAAGGCCATCTGACAGCAATGCTGATTCTGTGAACTTAGGCAGATCATGAGAGGGAGGGCAGGCAGGGTTGCCTCAGTGCTTGGTTCTTGTGGCCCTTTCTTACACCCCCAGGGAAATGCCAATCATCACCTTGGGGTGAGGAAGCAATTTTTCTCCAGGCCAGTTTGGCTGGAGATCCTGGAGCGTTTTTTGTCATCTTCTGGGCGTGGAACAGCGGTCACCGGGGGTGTGTAAGGGAAGGTATTTGTGAATTTCCTGCATTAAGCAGGGGGTTGGACGAGATGACCCTGGAGGTCCCCTTCCAACTCTAACATTCTATGATTCTAATGCAAGTGATGTCATGGGGTGAAACTGACGTGCCACAGTGACCTCTGTGGAAGAAAATTAAATTCCACTGAAACGGGCAACTCTGTCCACACCGCATTGTGTGCAATGTTTTTAGTGTGCTCAAATTAGCATGCCAACCATTTTCGGCGCCTTTCAAAAAGAAGCCTTTCCACTGAGAGATTTTCCTACCTTGTACTCTTGGACTGCCTCATCCAGCAGAACGGTGTTGTGCTCCTTGTGCTCCTTGGATCTGTCACATAACCAGCAGATGCGAGTTTGATCCTCCTTGCAGAAGAGTTTCAGGGCCTCCTGGTGCTGCTCACACACTTCCCACTTCCTCCCCATTGCCCTTTTCCCCACCTCAAGTTTCTTGACAAGTTCCACAAGGTTCGCCAGCTGCCGGTTTGGCCTGAAGTTCTTTTGCTGGAAAACCTCTCGGCACTGTGGGCAGCAAGCACCCGTGCCCGACTCCGCCCCGCACTGGGTGAGGCAGGCTTGGCAGAAATTGTGCCCGCAGTCTAAAATCACTGGATCTTTGAAGTATTCCAGGCAAATTGAACAAGTTGTTTCCTCACAAAACTCCCCGAGGAGACGCTCTGTTGCCATTTCTGTTTCTTTCTTCCTGAAACGTAATGAGCCCTTTTCTTTTTATTAGTTCACTGGGTGTTTCCTTTCCCGGAACTGCCTGTCAGGAGAAGGCAGCTGGAGGATTCTCACCAACCTGAAATGAAGAGCATGAAGAAAGCCAAAACGAGTTGAAACAGATCCTCCACACAAATGTATACACACACACTTTTTTAGAGTATGTAGTGCTCACTTAAAAACAGCTTTGAAATGATAAGTGGATGAAGAAGAAGAAGAGGAGGAGATTGGATTTATACCCCACCCTTCACTACCCAAAGGAGTCTCAGAGCGGCTTACAAACTCCTTTCCCTTCTCCTCCCCACAACAGACACCCTTGTGTGGTAGGTGGGGCTGAGAGGGCTCTGACAGAAACTGCTCTTTTTTCAAGAAGAGCTCTTATCAGAACTACGGCTTGCCCAAGGTCATCCAGCCAGGTGCAAGTGGGGAATCAAACCTGGTTCTCCCAGATTAGAGTCTGCGCACTTAACCACTACACCAAACTGGCTCTCTCTGATATAGGCAAGTATCACTAGCCATTTCTAATTTTGGCAAAGATTACACAAAGCTTGGTGTGAAATTACAGTCAGTAAGGTACAATGCAGTCCACTGATCCTGCTTTCAGGAGGGGCAGAACTATGGATACACACTGAGAAATATTATTAACTAGGAATAAGGCCCATTGTGGAAATAAATACAAAGAGCTCTAGAATCAGGCTCTGAGAGAGTGCCAAGGCCTTGGGCACTCAGCATCCATGTGCTGTGGCAACCTCAGCAGGGTATAATGACACAGAGTCCACAATTTTCTGCAGAGGAACTGATCTCTGCTACCTGAAGAGCAGTTGTAAATTTTGAGTAATTGCCAGTCCTCATCTGGAGATTGGCAACAATTGTTACCCAGAGGAAATGGCTGATCTGGAGGGTGGAGTCTATGGCATTTTACCTGTCTGAGGCCTCACCCCTCCTCAAACCTCACCCTCTCCAGGCTCCACCCCCCAAATCTCCATGAATTTCCCAACCTGG